GTTGAAAGATTAACTTTTGTTGTTTTATATGACTTCAAATCGATTTCACGTATTAGAATCTATAGCAATAATTGCCATGTCCTTATCCTAATATCGGTAATAATAACATTTCTCAATTATCATTAAATCCTGGTGAAAATATTCATTTTGTTCACTCGTCGCATCTAGAAATCTTATAACAGAGTCTGGCCACAAACAATTTTATCAAAACCAGAGCGAAAAAGGGTGCGATATATATTATCTTTTTTATATCTCATTTTAACTTATACTATCTTTCTCATTCTAAATTACTGAAGCTGACAATAATAATGGGCTGTTCAAAAGTTTGTTGTTGCCAAACTCTGTTATAGGACCTTTAATCGCACCTAAATTCGGAAAGAAATGATATATCTATTGCATCTTAAAAATTGATACATTTTAAAATTGACATGCTATATTTCAAAACTTTGACTTGATGGAATTTGTTTGGTGATAGATTCAAATTTAGCGCACAAAAATACATTAAAAGAATTGTTCCCTTTTCTTGTATTAAAAATTAATCAAAATTTGTAAATTAGTGTTACAGCAGACGAAAAACATAATTTTCTTAATCAGATGCGTTAAAACAATGCTCTGATCAAGCCTGTTCGCGTCATGCTTGTAACGTGAATTTTGTAGCATAAATGCGGGGAATTTAAATTACGACGCGAACGGAAAGAAAGCTGCAATCAAGTAATTCAGCAGGGCAATATTAACAGACGACTTCCTGGATCTATTCACGATCGCATCGATATTGAATCGACATAGGTCGATTAAGATAGCGTGATTAACGCGCGATTAATCGCTCGACGATTATCTCTTCAAGCGCGCTCAGCAACAAATATGCAACTCACTGATATATCATTCTACATCACACGAAGGTTGCGAACATTTTTAACTCTCATCTTTATAATCGCGAGCGGCTTGTTAGCACATTTGACGAGTTCTTAACACATTTGCATGTTTCACGAGAGGTGGACGCTAAGAAACGTAGAAATACGGAATTTTCATCATTTTACTTCGTACGAACGAATGAGAGTTATGTTTTAGTTGTGATTATATTTACAGTTTTTGTATAAGCTCTCTCTATTCTATAATTATCACATTTGTTTTAGCTATAATTAGCAATTTTTTTAATTAGCCGCTTTGAAGTCGATGTTCTCTCAAGGAATATTTAATGATAGACATAATTATATAGAGCAGCGTATATATACATGTATTTTTTTATTGTTTTTTTAAAGGAGAATTATTTTAAATTTACGCTATCCTGTCTTTATGCCGATGTTTTTCGGCATTTTAGATATTTAATTTTCCTCCAGCGTAATACTCTTTTTTTTTTCCTCTCTTCTTTCTTTATTATAATATTTAAAATATGCGAAACGACACGTCGAGCAGCTACTGTCGACATTCTACAAGTGGCATTCCTGGACAATCAAAGACACCGATCCAAGCCATTAACATGCGGTATGACGTATTCTCCGCAACAGAGATACGGATTCGCAATTGAAGTGACTGTAACGGATGACAAAAGCCTTTCGGGTTCTCTCGAAGGTCTCCATTACGCGAATGCGACTCGCATCGCAAACTCGCGAACCGCGGGGTGCATTATACCTCTTCGCCGAGCGCCGGTGTGCAGGTATTGTGCAGCGGTGCACACCCGACACCTGTTGCCTTGGCCGTGCTCTAGGGAAAACGAGATGCCTGCTGGGAGAGAGAACGCAGAGAAAGAGAGCGAGCGAGAGGGTCGTAACGACGCGTATAAATTACGATCGCCCGTTCGCGGCGTGTGTTCACCCCTTTTACGAGCGCGGCGCTCCCGACTCCTCAACGTCCCTCTTGACTGATTTACCGCTGCGGTACCCGCGAATTATCTCTCCCCTTTTCGCTCTTTTTGCGATATTCGCCATTCTTAGAGAGTATTTTCCGCGGCTTCGTTCGCGAAAAGGGAGGCGGCACGCTATAATTTATAACGCGAACGATCGCGAGCGATCTCCGCTCAGTGGGGCTGAACTCAGAAAGTCTGAAACTTGCAGTAAATTTGTTGAACAGGTCATATACCAATACTGGGTACTAACTTAAAAACACATAAAAAGCGTGCGGCGTACATATAATAATATAATTACGGAATAAAATGCAAACTGTATTCTGCGGTGTGCGGTACCGATTAATTTTTTCTTATAGCCAACGATGAAAGAACACTTCCTTAAGAATTAAGAAAATTGAAACTCCCTCAATTGAGAATCCGAAGCTGTCTGTTACTATTGAATTATATTCATTAAAAAAAAAAAAAAAAAAAAAAAACACTAAAAAATTGATTGAAACGAATATTTTAAGGAATGTTTTATATAATATGACAAGACAAACATTTTTGTGTCTAAAAGTATTAGCGAAAAAATGTTTGTCTCTTGTCATAAATACGCCTTGTGATAACTGTAAAAAAAAAAAACAGAATAAATAAGTTGACTTACAATAACTTTATGCAGCAAAATGACCATATTTTGTTGGTTTTAGGCATGTAACTTTTAAATGAATGAATAGATCCGAATGAACTTTTGTACGAATATTTATTAGTACGTGTATATATAACAAATTTAATTTAATTCGTATGCTATGACTTCAGATTTGCAAATAAGTACTTTTGCTTTAAAAATGCGATTTTACAAAAAAAAAATCAAGGGGAACAAAATAATTAATTAACTTTCAAATCAGTAAGAAGATTGAGCTTAAATTTTTGCACAGATACTCAGACTTAATAATAGAATAATCTATGAAATATTTTATATTTTTGGCAATGCTTTCAGATATCCTTAAACGATCGCATCGAAAAATCACGACTAATTTAATTTTTTATAAAATTTTGCGGTGATATCGCGATATCAGAGGCGAAGCATTTTGAAGAACTGGCAAAATTATTCTGTTGGTGAATGACCAGACGATGATTTCCGTTTGGCGAAAAAGTGGGCCAGTGGATCTTAATCGGTCCGCTATCTCCGAAACGTTGAACTCTTGTTAGCGCCTGGGTTATTTATGACAAGAATATTATTTTCCCTCATTAGTCACTGTGTAACTGTCTCCACGCTTGACTTTGTCACGCGTTATATACCCGCTCTTTATAGTCGCGCCGTCGCGATCTTAACTTGTGCTACATTCTAGCAGATTTACAACTGTCATACTCGCACGTTTTCACCGTCAGCGCGGCGAAAGAGTCTCTTTCGGTCCGTGATTCTGTAGAATTGGTCCCGAAGGACCCCGCTATTTTCTGTGACGCGAACGACGTTAAATCGATGAAAAGTTACATGTCTGAAGTTGTGTCTTCAAGTCGAAAAATCATCATTTTACAGCTTTTATATTATAGAATCTTAATAGAATATTTATTGCAATACATTACATACATACTGTTACAATATAATACTACAAGAATAGTAATATTTTTGAATTTATTGGAATTCAAATTTTGCAAACATTATTCTCATGCTTTAATTTTACTTTTTCTTTCATTGAATATTTATAATAATATTCAATGATTTGAGGAATTTTTTTTTTATGGAACAGATTTTGGAATAGTTTTATTTTCTAAACCAATCCCACACAGCTCGTTTTATCCAATGTTTTGAGAACATTCTTTGGGCGTGTTTAAAATGTCTTTTGGTAGTCTGCTATATATTATAGAATTAGCGCCTTCATTATGGAGAGTCATTATGATAAGTTATAATGATTCATCAAAAATTTCCGTGAAAGACATTGATATAAAATCATTAAACATATATTTTAATATTTGAAATTATCATTTATGATAATATATTTATTTATTCAAATCATGCAAGTAAAATTAAACATTTAAATATAAGAAGCAGAATATCGTTCTTTCATTAGATTAGCATTTTATTTCTCGTTGCAACGTTTTTTTTTTTCTATTTGGAGTTCCGTCGTCGTCGCGAGAAGATTAAATTCAAACCGTAACATGTCTTAAAAGAACCGGATCGGTGTGTCTTTCTCCATTCGAGTGCATACGAGACATCGTCGTATGATTTCTTGTTGCAGAATATGGGTATAAAAGATGAATTTCATCAGAGGAACATTTTGGTGTGCATCGAGGAACTCTGCAAAACGTTGCCACCGCCTCCGGTGGCGATGGAGACGATGGTTTCGACGCTCAACACGACGACGCCGACATCCAGCGTCGCCGTCGAATCGGCCTGTTCCCTCGGAGTCAACTATTCGGGCAACAACCTGGCCAATAACGCGCACAACCTCGTGCCGCACAGCTTCAGCGTGTTGGAGAAGTGCGGCAAATGCCATAAATACCTCAGGGGCCTCTTACATCAGGGCTTCCTCTGCCAAGGTACGTTTCCGTCCTTTATCGACGTCGACCTTTGTTAAATCCTAATCCGCTGGGTATCTTTTTGAATAAATTGAACTTTACTGGTGACGTGCGAAAGAGCTCGATTGAATCACTTTATGTGTATTTTAATTCCTTCGTATTCGCCGACTTCCTTAGCGCTCTTGAATTACAAATTATATCGCTCTATTCCTAATTAATTCTTTAGATTAATGATCGTTCTTAATGAATTTATAACATGTATATCTTTCAAAAATTACATAACCAGTAAAGATTTTTATATGAGAGTCCAATTCCATCATCGTTAAATATTTAACATTCGTGTTTATTCTTGCATGACAATCGCTTTAAATAAAATTCTGAAACCAGTACAAGTGAACTGGAAAAAAAAAAGGAAACTATGTGCGTTTTTCACGTTGTTGATCTCGCGAATTTTCTACGTTGCGCAGATTGCGGGCTGGTCTCTCACAGGACGTGTTCAGCGACGGGTTTACCTTCCAATTGCATATCGGTCGACTCGGACAATCGTATCAGCAGGTTTACTTCAGGTAAGTCACGTCGCTCGGATTGCCACAGTCGCCGTTGCAAATTTTACAGCGTGGCACCGCCCATTAATCCTTCATCGTGTCTCTAATGTATAGAACACGGAAAGACGCTGAAAAATTTAGTTGTCTCTTCAAAGGCGGGAGAGACATTGCGTCAGAAACACGATTGCTAGCATCGTAACCAGCTGCGTGGCGATATCGTATTCGAGTTACGAAGTTGACGGCAAGGACGCCCGTCCTGGCGCCTGGCCGCTCGCACCTCGTTATGATAACCTGAATCATTTTACGGAGGCTTGCACCTCATGGCTGACGGCTTTCTTCCATTGAAATCCCTCCGCGTCGCGGTCGTGTAGGAGTCGCCTCACTTGTTGGCATTTAATGATCCTTAACCGAGAGATACGAGTTTCAATATGGGTTTTGCTCGCTTTGCAATGCGTTCTATACTTCGCAAAAATTAATACCCATGGATGTGTGACGTTGCAAAAATACGGTAGTCTACAGTATTTCAGCAGATTGAATTTATTCCGATTCGATCGTTGCGATTGTACTTCCGCAACTCTCTGTCAACATTCGCATTTCCGTATACAAAACATTAAAGTATATTCGTTTCCAGAGTAACGGTTTTCGGGAGGAATTGATGTTAAGAGAGATTTTATCTTTTGTAAGATTTTATATTTCGTGATATATATGTATTATTAAAAAAGTTTAAAATATATTAT